ATGAATAGTTGGGACTCTCAGAAGGTCTCAACACAAATCAACAGTACAAGCCAGCAGCTCTCGGCTGGGTGACTTCACAGAGTCTTGCAGATTCCCCTTCTGTGAGGACGTGCTCCTGGGAGCATAATTTCCACCCACAGAGGCATCATAAGCATTCAGCTTAATGTGTGTTCAGTTGAAACCCTGGCATCCTACTTAACATGCTTTCCTTCACCCCCAACATCCAGGTTAACGGCATGACTTTAGCATGACATTCATGAGTTAACAGCACCCCTGTAGTGCCAGAGTCCCCGCTCCAGCCAGTCCAGGGGTCCCTGAAGGATGGACGGTGTCGGTGAGAGAGGGATGGGAGAGCCCCGCAATTCATTCTGATCACCAGACAGGCATCTCCACACTGACTGAGTCTCAGCTTTATTTATGGGTAAGTGTATGGGCAACAGCCCAGAAGTGGCATTCTGGTGATAAATTCTTTGATCAGTAAAAATTTTCCAGAACCTTGATATGCATAAATGTATGGGAAAGGAGGGTATCTTTAGCATTCAAATACAAACAAGATAATGTTTTTAGCATAGCAAAGGCAAAGGTCAGTGCTTTATGAGCAGAGGTCAATAGGCTGTTTATTGCTTAAGGGGAAGTATGGAGAAAAACAGGATCCCCAGGAAACACAATGTCTGCTCCCATAACCACAAAAGAAGTTCCCACAACAAGTTCCTTCACAAGGTGCAATCAGCATACCAGGGCCAGAATAAGTCACTTATACCAATCAACAAGGTGCTTTGGGTGTTAGTGCTCAAGCAGAAACAATTAAGTGGGGGTAGATATCGGCCATCACCGACGGACGGCAGGAGACCTTGCAAGCCTGCCTTAACCTCACAAGGAGTTTTCTCAACTAGTGAGTTCAGAATGGCTCCCAACACTGTAGGCTCTGTCTCTAAAGCCTACATGAAGTCATGCTTCTCTAGCAAGTCTTGCTCTTGAAACCCATCTTTCATCTGGAACACTTATTTCCATGTTTGCATTCACACCGATGTCTGGTTCCTTGTTCACAAAGTATTTATTAAATCATTTCCATCCAATGGCTTACCAGTTACAATAAGAACAAAGTGTAAACCACCTACATCATGATTTATAAAACACTACCACTCCTGGCCCTCCCCGGGGTTCCAATGCCATATCCCCCTGCTGTCCCTTTTGTCTGTGACGCTCTGACCACCCTGTTCTTCCTGACTACACCAAGCTCAGTCCCATCTCATGCCCTTGGACATGGTCTTTCCTCCATCAGGAATGCTTATTTCTCTTATTGTTACAGGACTCTTCTCTCAAGAAGCCTTCTTGAGCATCCTAATGCGTTTCTCTCCACTTTCGCTCATTCTTGACCATACCAACAATGCATGTCAGGATCCAAGATGATTTCTGTTTAGCATCTTCCCTCAGTCAAATGGAAGTTCTGTGTGGATCAGTGTGCTATTTTGCTTAATGCTCATATCCCCACCATGAAATAGGACTACAATACTTAGCAGGCAGTTAGAATGCAAAGTAAGAAATATTTGTTAAATAACTGGAAAAACCACCATAAATTTGGTAGCATCCATTGTATGTGCGTTTAGTATTTATGCATAGCTGCCTCTTTTTTTTTTTATTTCCTTTAGGCTGGAAGTCAGTTATGCTCTTGATGTAAAAGGAGAAATTGGTTGTCCCCATGGGCTCCCAACAGTCTTGATAGGGAGCTCATTACTTCTTTGTATTTTCCAGAAAAAGATGCATACTTGTATCAAACATAATAATCACTCTGAATTTCACTGACATTTCCGTAGGGGAATGTGGGAGTAGATTTCTATTGCACATCACACAGAAAACAAATTCACAAATTCCCATTAGACATTTATGTTCTTCCTAAAACCCCTCTTGGTAATGCCAATAACAAAGTGGCTGCTTCTCTTTTTATCCATCTCTGTCTAGCTTCTATCCTCTGAGATCCAGAAATTTCCAATGAGATCTCTAAATCATCTAAGGTTTTATTATACCAATGAGTGTAATGGCACCTCAGCAGTTCCAAACTTGCACAACCACCAACTAAAAACCAAACCAAACCAAACTAAACCAAACAAAGCAACTGAAAGTCTTTAGGGTGTTGAGATTCATTCATGCCCTAAATCATTTTATATCTCTAACTTTGTCCAATTATATATTAAACAAGATTATATTTTTATATAGGTGTATTTCCTGTTCAATTTGCTGAGTTGCCACTTGGAGTAAGAGAATGTCATTCAAATCCAGGGTCTTTGTGAACTAGCAACGCTGTATGAGATCACAGAGGGGGCGCTGGAGCCACAATTCCTATGTTACACTCCGATCTCTTTCTATTCATGTGAGTTGGGGTAAGTTATTCATCATCCAGACTCTGGTTCCTTGTCTTTGGAGCAAAACTGAAAATGGCAGTAATTCCTACTTCGAGAGGCTGCCGGTGGCTTCTAGTTGTCATAGTCTCTACAGAGTGTTTCTCCCCATGACTGGTACATCGTGTGCCTTAATAAATGTAAATGTAAATGTGTGTACTTTTGGGTGAATTCCCTAACCTCTCTGTGCCTTGCTATTCTTAGTAAACTGGACATAATGATACCTCAAACATCATTGTAACGATAGATCAATGAAATCAGGCATTAGAAGATAGATGCTCATAATTTGAGGGAGGAAGGTCTTTAAACTGGTAAAAGATGGTTTGGGGAGGAGGGAAATAGAGCAAGGGTGAACCTGGCTTGCCCAGCCAAGGTGGTTGTATGGTGCTCTTTGCAAAATGTAAAGTAACAAAAACATTTTATTTTTGTCACGCAAGATCCAATGACTCTGAAGAGGGAAAAAATGAGGGAGAGGAAAATTTCCCTGATGTTGGCATCTAATTCAGACCAGCCTAATCCCAAGGTTATCATCTGAGATCTGCTGCAATCAGGAGCCCCTTGCTACGGAGTGCGATGCTTTTGTGCCAGACACTTAGGCTCCTTCTAGACCTGGTTCTCATTACATCATTTTCTCCTCCAGTACTTCTCTCCATAGGCTGCCGGGCAGGAAATAGACCCCAGGTAATTGGTCGCATTAAACAGAACATCCAGATGCCTAGTGAAAAGGAGATTTTAAAATTAGATTCTGCTTCAATTAGCAGGCGGTGTTCTTCTCTTCCTCAAGCCGCATTCCCCTTTAAGGCCAAGTTTGGGTTCTGCAGACAAACTCACAAGACTCTTACCCTAAAACTCACTGTGTCCATAGCAAGAGGGCATCGCAGGCTAGGTTAGGATCTGCTGAGCCAAGCTGACTCACTTGAGATGTTTCTCTCCACTCTCCACATATCTGTCTGCTGCAAGCTCTCAGATTTCCTCAGCTGCGGTGGGATCAAGCATTAGGAGTGGGGAAGGGGTGGGGGAGAGTGTCTCTAAGCTCCTCCACACCGGGATGAAATGATCTTATTCACTGGTGTGCAGGCAGCCATTTCTTTACCTTTGATTTGGTCATTAAACTCTTCCAGCTGCTTCAACACATTTTCCCCAAGGTCCCTGTTAGGATGGCTGCTTCTCCTGTGATTATAACACAGCCAACTGGCCTTCTGGACTTATTGCTACCCCTTTCCTAATGATCTTATAATGGCTGCTGGGTTTATTTAAGCCACCTGACAGATAACAATGTCCATTATGCAAACCCCAAATAATGCCTTCTCATTTGGAACCATTTCTTGTTTAGTTCTGTTTTGTAAGAAATGGAACCAGGCAATAAGAAGACAAATGCTGATCTTAGATCTATTTCTTAAATTTTAGATACTGCTTTGGGTTCGAGCTCCAATACAGCTATGAAGGGCAATGGAAATAATAAAACTGGTTTCTTCCATAGATTGCGAATCAACAGAATGAAAGTAAGGGAGTTAATATATTTACAATTCTTTGGAGATTGTCTCAAAGGTGAATTTTGTTAGCTGTTGCCATTGTTGCTCAAAACAACTAGAGCAATACCGTGCCCATGTTCAGAGAAGAGAGTTGGAGGGAGTAGGGCAGAGGTGACTGGAGGTGGAGAATAAGAAAGTCATACAAGGTGGGTTATTTGCTACCAATTTTATTTGCATTTTATTTTATACAGAGACCAAGGCAGTTTAATAAGGGCAGGGCCTATGACGTAGTATTTTAGGTCATGCATCTGGAGGGCTGTCAGGGGCTTACACGGAAGCCCCTGAAGCCACTGCCCAGAGCACCTGCATGGTGATGGGGTTTAGAGGGCCATGGGAAAGCTGAAGGTCAGAGCAGATGCTGGCCCCTCTCATAACTACACATCCTGTGTTAGTGAACTCACACTTTCTTTGCACAAACCTAGATCTAAGAGCTGCTGTAGGAGCATGCTCACATTCCTGAGGAAACAGAAGCCTATCAGCCTCATCACTTGGGTTTTGTCACTGATTCAGACGCTTCCATCCTTCCACCCTCCATTGCTCTTAGCAGATTTGGGGGGTGAGCAATGAAGCAAAGGAGATGAAGATAGGATAGTCTATACGTTGTCCTTGCAGCAATGAGTTCCTCTTTGTCATTCATTGCAAATTGCCTGGGGAAAGCATATGGCTTTATGCACACTGTGCCTCTAAACTGTCTGATATTTGGGTGGAGTTTGCTTTTGTGTGCTCTAATCTCATCATGATGAATTCTGACTCCTGCACATTGAACTCCTCTTAACTATGTTTTAGTTTCACTCTGCCCGAAAGAGGTTTTTTGCCACAGCAGAGGTTTGACCAGGACTCTCGCTGGCTGTATTTCAACCATTCATCTTTGGCGACTAGTCAATAATATTTCTCTGAGGCCCAGCATTTTCACGTATGTAGTGCCTTGGGTCTACTCTTAGGGGTACGAGCCAAAGGTGTTCCTTCCCCCAGGAGTCTGCAGCCTCCCTCACTTTTGCACCCAAGATACTAAATACCCCTTACAATACCTGTGCATCCCTGCTTGGAATCAAAGAACTTCAGGCATAGGTGATTTTCATTTTCAAAGTTTCCTACTAGTTTACTTAGGAATTTGGGGATTTCAAGTGTCAGATACCAACTCAAACTCAATAATAAAGAAAGAAGGAAGAGAAGGAGGGAGTTGGGAGTTACTGGTCAGTGTGGCTTGGAAAGTCCAGGCATTCATCTGGCTTCAATCAGGGCTAGGTCAGGGAATCCGAGGTTAACATGATAACTTCAGTCACCTGGGTCTATTTCCAGGGACAGGAACCAAAAAAGAGGTTGTCATCTCTGGAAGCTGGAAAAGAAAAGAAAACAATTCTCCCCCAGATCCTCCAGAAGGAACACAGGCCTTCTGATACCTTGATTCTAGTCCAAGAAACCCAATTAGGATTTCTGAGCTCCAGAGCTATGTGATAATAAATTTATGCTGTTTCGGTCATTAGTTTATGGAAATTTGTTATAGGAGCAATAGAAAACTAGTGAACTTGGCTCAAGCTTTTTCCTGCCTGTAAAGCTTTTCATTGCATGCTCTTTTAGATGTTTCCCACCATCATGCAAAAAAGGTGAGGCACGTGCCAGTGATAACCACATCATCATCCTACAGTGTTGGGGAACTAAAAAGTTTTAAGTTCTTTTTCACCTCACCTGTGTCTTTTGTCTTGCCCATCATTTTCAAGGCTGACCTATGCACCCACCCACCCTTGGATCTTCTCTATTAAAAAAATATATTCTGCTTAAGATGATGCACATTCAGTGTCTAAACCCCAGGATGTGTGGTATAATCTCAATATATGTTAAGAGTATTACATCTTCCTTGTTAAGAACTGGAGTATCTTTAACTTTCTTGTTCTCTGCCAAAGTATACTGCATTATTCTTTCCTTCTTCTCATACTTCCCTTTTCGTGTATGTGTTGGTTTGTTCATCCCTTAAAAATGTCTCTTGGCTGAGAAATCTGCAGTTTTCTGCATAGACCTGCACCTTACATGATGAAAGGCAACTCTCTTCTTTCAGTGGTTGGGGTCAGAGTTTTGGAGACATATTTGGCTCTTTTCTTCTTATTTTTAGGTTTTCGTTTTAGTTGGGAAAAGACAGAGAGAGAGAGAGAGAGAGAGAGAGAGAGAGAGAGAAGGAGAAAGGATCCCAGGCAGGCCCTTTACTGTCAGTGCAGAGCCTGATGCAGGGCTCAAATTCATGAGCCATGTGATCATGACCTGAGCTGAAACCAAGAATTGAATGCTTAACCAACTGAGCCACTCAGGCACCCCCCTTTTCTTCTTTTAATTACCCACATCTAATCCCATAAAGGAATCCTGTTGGTTTGGCCTTGCTCTCGTATTTATCCAAATCTGACAACCTCCTCTGCTACCACTGTGGTCCAAGCCAACTTTTGTCTCTTGACTGAATTATTACAATTCCTCCCCTCCTGTGCTCCCTGCATCCACCCTTGCCCCCAGTGCTATCAAAAAACCCACAGGCAAAGTCATCCTTCAGAGTGTGAATCTGGTTCTGGCACTCCTCTTTTGAGTCCTCACTCGGAGGAAAGCCACATCTTCATAGTGGTTCACGTGACCCCATGTCATCTGGGCCTTCTCTTTTATCTGACTTCCTCTTCTACCACTTGTCTCCTGCTTACTCTGCTATGGCCGCACAGGCTTCCGTGTTCATTCCAGAACACACTAGACATGCTTCTATTTCAGGGTGTTCACACTTGTTACGTCATATTCCTAGAACGTTCTTCTCTCAGATATCCACTTGCACTATTTCTAAGTCTGTGCAAATGTCTTGCATTTGCATGTCATTCCCACATGTAAAATTCCCACCTCTACCACAGCACTCACTGTGTTCTAAATCTCCATGTGACTTACTCTTTGATCATGTTTACTGTCAGAGCACCCCACTGAGATGTAAGCTCTGTGAGAGCCAGGGATTTTGTACACTTTCTAGGGACAGCTATTTCCCCAGTACCTAGGACAGTGCCTGGCCTAGAGTAAATGCCAAAAATAAATAAATTTCTCCATTCTGTACATTTCCCTGGGGCAACATCTTCCAATTTTATAACTTCAGTTCCCATCTATATACACTGAGTGTGGCCTAAGATAGAAGGTTGACACCACCATCCACCCAGTTACCCAAATAGAAATTAGGAATCACTATGTATTTCCTTCAGCTCTTAAATGTTCATTGCATCCCTCTGGTATGCCCAGCAAAGTGCTATAAACCAAGGAAACCTTTGCAACAAAAAAGGAAACCATCTTTGCCCTCATGAGCTAATAGTCAAATAGCTAATCAGAAAAGAGAGGAAGACTTGGCGGAGAAAACATTCCCATTTTTCCAGTTTTCCATGTGAGAAGGGAATGTTTTGTGCCCCAAGATTAAAGGAAAGTCATCACAATGACAGTAAAATCAATTTGGCTGCCAATATTAGCAAACTCCCACATTGCACTTACTATATGTCAGGCTTTACCTACATTACCCTTTGTATAGATAGTGGCTCACTGAATCCTCAGAACAGCCCTATGATGGGTGGTATTTTGTCCCTATTTCATGTCTGCAGAAGATGAAGGGCAAAGAAGTTATAAGCTTGTTCAAAGACACAGGGGAAGTAAGTATCTTAGTTGGATTTGAATCCAGACAGTCTGGTCCCAGTGTCTAAGTCTTAACCATTATGAGAACAATTCACTCTCTTTCTCCAGCCAGTATGTAGGAAAATGGAATCAGGCATTTGAGGCTGAGGAGATTCTGATTTTGCCTTTTCTTCTTAGCTGCTCCAGCGCAGTCCTCAAAGGCTCCCTTCCATTTGCTTCTGGTCTCTTAGAGCATTCTCTCTTCTCTTTCCTTCTTTCAGCTCAATGGGATGTCATTGCTTTCAGCAGTGACTAATCTTAATTTTTGCTCTATCAGCTTTCCAACACTTGTATAACCAATCCTGGGTACTTGACCCTTCTATTTGAAATACTCAGTGTGGTCTTACCTTCCTGCCTGGATTCTGACTGACCCAGCTTCACCATGTCTCTGATTCTCACAAAAACACTACCTTCTGTACATGATTTATTCCCACTTTATACTTTAGAAAACCAAAGTTCGGATCAATTAACTGTCCTATTTTTCAAGGTCATGGACTTCATCCAGGACTGACTACTTTCAATATCTGCACTAACATCAAGAGACGATGTATGGTGTTTTCAAATTAAACATTCAAAGACTTACTAACTCGAAGCTGATGTCTCACTTAAATTGTGACCCTTCGAAGTTCTTTTGTTATCCTCAAAGTGTCTTAACATTCCACATCGTTTTCATTTAAATTTCATCAGTGATAGGATATCTTCAATCTGTCAATCTCAGAAGGAATATGTATGCTTAAGAAAAAAAGTTGATAGAGTTAGATCTTGAATAAAATGATCTTATTATACTTGAAAACATCATTGGAATTAAACATGATATAACTGTAGAATGACAAAACTGCATTTCCTGTGAGATGCTTGAATTGGCTCTGAATTCATTTACTGAGCTTCAGTTAAGCAGTTAAAGCTGGGGTGGAAACACCGAATTAGAGAGCCAGTTCCTAAGGAGAGAACAACCCATGGGGTTTGAGTGGAGTTATTTTTTATTTTTTTTTGTCAGAAAGCAATTTGAAGGAGACAAAATTAACATTAATGCGTGCTTGTTAAATACTAGTATCGCTCTGTGTGTATGCCAGAGCCATAGCACCAGGGCGCAGGGAAGAATGAAAAGGTGAACGGACTTGTTTTGGGTTCCAGGCACAAGTTCCCAGGATGCCACCGTGGAAAATGCTGGAGACAAGCAAACATACAATTAAGTTGTCCAGCAGAGAATCATCTCATTCTGCCTGTCAATCCTCAGCAGCCGTGCTTGACGCCCACAATCTCACTTTATTAATATGTCATTCTTTACCCACTCTTCAGGAACCGTGTGCTACAATTAATCTTTCTTAGGGATGTGAAATTAAAAAGGCAAGCAGAAAGGGTATTTGGCTTGGTTCCCTAAGCAAAACGATGCAGCTTCCACAGTCACGAAGCCCCAGGAATGTTTGGGTTCCAACCCACCTTCTCTTCTGGAAAGCTTCAGGAACACAGTGTCTATTTCAGTGCTGTTGACAGTGACGAGTCTTGATTTGCCACCACCAAGGCACAGCTTGTGCAGGGGAGAGAAGCCAACTAGCAGATGAACAGGGACATGAGGATCGGGCAGAGGGAGGAAGGAGCGGCCTCCTTGGGAAGTGTCTTACAACAGCAAAGTGGGAGCACGAGGAAGAAAACAGAAACGGCAGAGAGAATGAGAGGAAGAGACAACAGAGACACATTGTGGATGTCCTGGGTGTGTTTCCCAAGCAAGAGAAGCAAGCCAGGGAAGTTCGCCATATCCAGAGAGACAGAGCTGGGAAAAGTGGGTTCCGGGTGGGAGACGGGTCAGACGGGAAGGTGTTATGTCGCGGGGACGGCTCATTTTCTGACTTTGGAGGAGGAAGGTGGGCTGTTTGTGGGAAAGAGCATTTAAAGTACATTCTGGAAGATGGACTAAGGAGACACAGCCTAGGGTCTCACACCTGAGAGGCCCCATGTGGACACAATTCCAAAAACTAGGGAGCTGATTGTGCAGCCATGTCCTTCAACTTCCCACTGGCCATTTCGCACCAAGACAGACTGAAGGTCATGTCTGTGGGTCTCTCCTGTGCTCCTCCCAGGTCCAATCCAGGCCACGTTCATGGACTGTACCCATTATGGCTGGCCAGGATGCAGGCCATAGTGATTTGTACTCTAGTTATCTCTCCCGTGTAGTACATTTTCTGGAACAGTCTATTGTTAATGGTTAAAAAGGAATTGAATTATTCCAATTATGTGCCCCTGACCCTGTGTAATGTTGTGACGTAATAAAAAATATATTTTCATCTTCCTTTCAAGTCTCTGAGTGATAGAAGGTGAAAGGAACATTTTGTTTGTTCTTCCTGACAAGCCTGTTTCAACCCCACCAAGTTTATGTTAATAAGGGGATTTTATCTATTTGTTTATTTGTTTGTTTATTTATTTATTTGATTCTTAAATTTTTTAAACATTTTTTCATTTTGGAGAGAGAGAGTGCGAGTGGGGGAGAGGCAGACGGAGAGGGAGACACAGAATCCAAAGCAGGCTCCAGGCTCTGAGCTGTCAGCATAGAGCCCAATGCAGGGCTTGTAACCATGAGCGGTGAGATCATGACCTGAGCCGAAGTTGGATGCCCAACCAACTGAGCCACCCAGGAGCCCCAATAAGGGGTTTTTAGAAAGACCCTATGGATGAGGGGCTGGTTGCCATGGGAATCAGCCACTTGGATTAGAGGTGATGAAGAGGGTTGGACATTTCAGTTCCGTCACCACTTGCGGAAGGGACAGGGTGGAATTTACATAATCACCAATGACCAAGGATTTCATCAATCATGTCTAGGTATTAAAGCCTCCATAAAAACCCTTACCAATGGGGTTTGGAGAGCTTCTGAACTGATGAACACCTTGAAGTTCTGGGATAAGGGATGAACCAGGTGAGAACATGGAAGGTCTACACCCCTCCCCACATACCTTGACCTATGTATGTCTTCCATTTGGCTGTTCCTGAGCTGTATCCTCTGTAGTAAGTCAGCAGCAGTAAGAAAAATGTTTCCCAGGGTGTTGTGAGCCATTCTAGCAAACTATTGAGCCAGAAGAGGGGGTTGTGGGAACCTCCGATTCCTAGTCCATCAGTCAGAAATGCAGGCGACAAACTGAGACCTGTGATTGGCGTCTGAAGTCAGGGGCCATCTTGCCTTGTGGGACTGAGCCTCAGCTTCCGGGGTCTGGGCTAACTCCAGGCAGTTAGTGTCACAGTTGCTTCGTGGGAGGAAAAACACCCTACACGTTGGGTGTGAGTAGAGGACCACTGGTGTTTCACTTTGCTGGGCGAGGCCTCCCTGCCTAGGAAGTCAGAGTGAGTGCACTGCTGCCCGCTGTGATCCGTCTCCCAGGCGAGGCAGATCCCCGACAGCCGGGCTGAGCGGAAGGGCGCGCAGGCGCGGCCAGGCACCTAGCGATTTTGACAGCTGCAATAGCTCTGTTGTGCTAATGGGCATCTCTTAATGCGGAGAGAGCAGCTCTGCAATTTGCTCAGCAGCCCTGGGCCAGCTTTGCGGAGGCCTCATTGCTCCCACTCAGGCCATGCGGACCGCCAGTTGGAGCAAGGGTGTGCAGTAAGTGCGTCCGTGTGAATAACCTTTCCAGGGCTCCCTGCTCTCCAATTATTGACTGAGGCAGCTCCCTGAGCCTGGATAATTGCCTATAGAAAGCATCAATGCTGATAATTAGAACTGGCCAAGAGGCAAATGTGGGCTCTGAGAGTGACCGAGTTGGCCTGGATACCTATTTAAGGAAAATACGAAGATGTCTCCATTGCTGTGGCACAATTTTCTGTCTGAGTTTATGAAAGTGCTCTTGTGGCTCCTGTTTTCCCATTTTGTCATCCTGGCCCCATCATTACGTATGTCTCAGGGCTGCCTGCCTCTCTCAAGAGCACTTTATTCCCTAGAGAAGGGTGTTTACTCTCTGCTTCCCTGCTTCCCAGG